CATTAAATTCCAGTGAAATATATTTATGTTTGTGGTTGTAATGTGACAAAATATGGAAAAGTTCAAGGGGTATGAATACTTTTGCAAACCACTGTATATAAAGTGGAGCTGTGATGCTTTGGGTCCTTTCAATTCCTCCTCATTGTAACGCCATAAGCCCCTCTTTCACCTCTTTTCTGAGATGTGTCTCAGATAAACTCATTTTGAGGCTGTACTCAAATGTTTTTGGGAAGGAACTTGTTCTGTATTTCAGATTTGTTAAGTTGCTAGTTATTATTATTATTAATATTATTATTATTATTATTATTATTTTAAAGGTGTATTCCTTCTTGTGAATTTACACACCTTGTTGGGCAGGCTTTTCTGCCACCATCTCCTTGAGCTCCTCCTCCTCCTCCTCCTCTTCTTCCTCTCCCTCCTCATCTTCCTCTCCCAGCTCCTCCTCTTCTTCCTCCTCCATCTCCCTCTCCTCCTCTTTGATGTCATCCTCCGTGTCTTTACCATCCATCTCTTCCTGGTCGTCCTCCAAGTTTTCAATTATTTCCATCCCTTCATCTTCATTGTCCAGCTCCTCCTCCTCCTCTTCCTCCTCCTCCTCTTCATCCTCTTCTAAAGTAGCTTGTCCGTCCACAGCCATCTCCATCATTTCTCCCTCCTCTTCTTCCTCTGTGCTGCTCTCTTGCTCCTGTATCATCTCCAGCTGGTCCAAGTTGACCCGGCCCATCAGCTCAAAGTTACGGATAACCTGATAAGAAACAGGAAGTTGTTTTCTTTTAGGTATTTTAATCTACATCAGCATTTTATTTATTTATTTATTTAGGGGAAAAAGCCTGTTTTGTTCTTTATTTCAAACACGAGAAAAAATTGTTTCAATAAAACCAATGAAATCAATCAGACATCTTAGCTTTATTTAACCAATAACTACCACCTACTTCAAAAAAGATGGACTCATTTCATAGTTGATGTTAAGATTTATGGAGACACACAGCAGCTGTACCATAAACTTCAGGTCTAAAACTTTGTTAGTGAAAAGTCAAAAGGCAGCAGCTCCAATAATTCTATCTAAAAGGCGATGGATTTATGTCACTGAAATGTTTTTTATGGTGAAGTCGCTGCTATTATGAATAAATTTACTAACAGGCTGTTACAGCTATAAAATCTTATTATAGTCGTTGCTTTTGTTTACCAGTCTTTAAATATTAACGTAGCTGTAAAAAAAAGGATATTATTTGTGGAGTTGGACTGACTTTGTGCTCGAGGCGCAGGTGCTCCTCCAGCTGGCTGCGGCGGCTGCTGTCGAAGTAGCAGAGCTGGCACTGGTAGGGCTTGATCTCGTCGTGCTTCTGCAGGTGGAGCTGCAGCGCGTGGTCGCTGGAGCATGTGAAGGTGCACTTGTGGCACCGGAACACCAGGCCCTCGAGGTGGCGGGACAGCTTGGAGCGGCTGACCTCCAGAGGAGCCATGCGCTCTTCTGGTGGAAGGAGAAG